ACTACTTCTTGAACAAGTCTTTCTGTGGACATACGTTTCCATTTGGGGGGATAAATGGGAGTGGGATGGCTGGATCACACAGTGTGTGTCCAACTTTATAAATCACCAGACCTTTCTCCGCCGTGGCTTTGCCGTCTTCCACTCCCCCAGGAGCAGCGTGTGAGTCGCGGTTGCTGGGCGTCCTCAGACCTTGGTGTTGCCGGTCTCCAGTCTCAGCCATTCTAGGAGGGGTGCGGTGTCTCTGCGGTTTGGATTTGCATTTCCTTGAGTACTAAGGATGCTGAGCATCTTTTCTGGTTGTTATTGGCCACTGTATTTCCTCTTTTGTGAAATGTCGGTTCAAATCTTTTGCCTTTTACTTTTTTTTTTTTTTTTGGTGACCATAACAGGGACAGATCTTTTGCTCATTTATAAAACCAGGTTGTTTGTCTCTTTATTATTAAGTTGTAAGAGTTCTTCATATATTCTGGATACAAGTCCTTTTTATATATAGCACAGATATTTTCTCCTAGTCTGTGACTTGCCTTTTCATTTTCTTAGTGGTATCTTTCCAAGACCAGAAGTTTTAATTCTTTTGAGATGCAAGTCAGGTTTTTCTTTTCTGGTCAGTACTTCTCATGTCCTAAGAAATCTTTGAATATCTCTCATTACTGTGATGAGTAGGGTCGAGTACTTTCTCTTGTGTCCAACGGCCATTTGTGTATCTTTTTCTGTGGAATGTCCATGTCTTTGGCCTGTGCTTTTAAAGTTTGTTTACTGGTCTTTTTCTTGATTTCTAAGAGCTCTTTGTCCATGAAAGATTAGCACTTTATAGTATATTGCAATGTTTTCTCCCAGTCTGTCGTTTGTATTTTTGACTTATAGTCGTCTTCTATGTAAAATTGCACGCGTGTGCTTTTATAGTGTCCATCCATGTTTGCGCCTAGTATTATGGTTTCATTTTTTTTAACAGTTGGATCTCTATTCTATTTGGAGTTGATTCTAATGTGCCGTGGAAGGCATGGAATCAATTTTATCTTTTTCCAAATGACTATCCACTTGTCGCCATATCATCTATTAAAAAGTCTTTCTGTTTCTAATGATCGGAGATCATCTCCCAGACCTTTTTCATTCAAATCCTGGACTTCCACGTGGACTTTCTCCGTTTCTGCCACATGGCCCCCGTCTGTCCATGCTCGTGCCAATGGGCCCCCTCTTCCTTGGGGACTTCATGATACATCTCAGCATAAGGTGGTGACTCCTCACCACTCTTCTGTTCGGAGGGTTTCCTAGGGGTCCTCACTTATTTATTTCTCCAGACTTTAGAACCATCTTGGCTAGCTCCTGAAAAGACACTTGATTTTTTTAAAAATTGAGATTGTGGGCAGGGCATGGTGGCTCACACCTGTAATCCCAACACTTTGGGAGGCCAAGAGGGGAGGATCACTTGAGGCCAGGAGTCTAGACCAGTC